CCGCGGCCGCGCAGCCCCCGCGCAGCCCCCGCGCAGCCGCTGCCAGGGCGGGGGGAGTCCCCAGGAGCCCCCCCGGGAGGAGAGCATGGAGATAACCCTCGTATGTCCTGCTAAAGATAAATGTATATATATACACACACACATATATATGCGCCATACATATGCATGCATATACGCATACCCATATATATATATACACATATGAGGATGCTTTATCTATATGAGGATGCAGGTTACATATATATACGAGGGTATTTATAATAGGCTGTTTTGTAAATATATCTAAATATAGGAGGATAAGCACGTGTGTGTGTGTACACGCGGATATATTTATATGGATTTATTTATGTTCTCGGCTCTGGTGCAAACAGCAGGGTTGATCTGTATTCCTGACCCATGCGATGGCAGCACAGGGGGCACCCTGACCCCTTCCCCGGGCACCCAAATGGGTGCTGCGACGGCACCACAGAGGCGCCCGGTCGTTTAGGGGGTTAATGAGGTTTTTTCTCTTGTGCCGGGAGCTCCTGCCGTGATTGGGGTCATCGTAACCAGATAACGGGGCGATAGGGAGCCCACGCTAGGGAAGATGCTGAAGTTGGGTCGTTCCTGCCGCTTCCAGCCCCAGAGCTCTCCCACTCTGCGCAGACAGCGAGCTCCAGGTCAGCTTGTTAATTTGTCCGATGGGGAGTAAGGCTGGAAATATTTGTAAACCCATTTGCTTTCCCTCCGGAGGGAGATAAGAGTAAATATGAATCATTCTTTTGAAAGTTGGAGAAAGTGTCATGTTTGGAGCTGAAGCATGTGCACTTATTTTTTAAAAGCAAGCAGCTCGCGGGAGGCTTTTCAGAGAGCTTGTAACCTCTATCAAACAGGAGGGAAAAAATATATATATATATATCCGCATATGCATAACGCTTACATAACCCGCTCTTAATTGTGAATGGGATTCCTAGGGGGAGTCGCAATAAGCCAATTAATAGTATCATTCAGAGTATCAGCCCTCGCTCATCGTGTTTACTACTGGCAAAGAGTGGAGTGGTTGTATCTTCAGACAGGAGGCGGTCGGGGGGCAGCTACAGCCGGCGCGCTCCGACGGGTGGAAAACACCCGCTGCAAAGACCGGTGCAGAAAATCATCCCCGGTCTCGGTGGTGATGGATGTGTGGGGGCAAAAAGCAGCACGGGAAAAATGTCTTGGAAGGAGCTGCTCAGCTCCGTGGCACGGGGAAAACAAGGTAGGTAAAGCTACCCGGCTGGTAAAATTGGCATGGAAAAGGGGTTTTGGAGCAAAGCGTGCAAAAGGTTGTGATGGAGGAACGCAGGCGTCGGGCAAAGACAGTTCAGGCATCGCTATTACCCTTAGGGCTGATTATTTATTTCAAGGAATAAGTTCTTAAACATGAAGGACCCTAAAACACAGCCCTGCAAGCAGCCCAAACGAGGCCTTCCCTTGAGCAGGGCAAAATCACTGCAAGCAGCGCCGCTCCGGTGATGAGCACCCATTGGGAACGGCCCTGCTATAAAAACCCAGATTTCACAGCACCCAGATCTGCCCTTTCCAGGAACAGAGCACGATGCTTTTGAGGAAACCTTCCCAGGGCGCTTCAGCCGTTGTCCTGGAGCTGCTGAGGCCTCTTGTGCTTTGTGACACAGTGACAGGACAAGGAGGAGCAGGACAGCAGCGAGCCAGATCCTGGGTTATTTTATTTTATTTTATTTTATTTTATTTTATTTTATTTTATTTTTTCCTAGGGAAAGGAAATGCCATGACTTTCCCTCTCTGCCCTAACATGGAGTTACGGTCCCAGTCGCTTACATTGTTTCACACAGAGTTATTTACCCTCCCGTGAAGCTAAAATGTTTTCTGCACTTGCAACATAAGAACCCGGGGAGGGAGGGTTGTCACTGGCGATAATGTTACGGCTGGAGCAGGGGGCACTGGAAAACTTGGTCGGCTCCTGCCCGTTTCCCAAATAGCCATGAGGTGCCCAGTGCCGGGAGCCAGCGGTGCCTCCCAGAGGCGCCTTCTCTTCCCGCTGTCACTAGCATTGCATAGTTTCAAATAAATCCCTCAGGATTTAAATAAATCCTAGGGACACAGTTCCTGCGTGTGTACACTCTGTTTCCCGTCCCAGTGCTGTTTGGTTGCAGGTTGCAGAGCTCAGATGGGCCTTTGCAGTCCCTTAAACCAAAACTTCTGCTCCTTGCGGTGTCCAAGGAGGCCTTGGGACGGGCAGATATTTCCTGGCTGCAGTTTGCAGCTCAGTCACTAAAGCAGCTGTTGCCTATAGAAAATCATTTCTTGGAAACTCCAGGCATCCTACCACATTCAATATGCATAAGTAAGAAAAAAATGTTCGTATTTACAGCCTTGAATAAAAACTCTCATTTTCATTACACTGTATGGTAAATAAGTGCTTCCCAGTAATGTGTGAGCCACACTACGGAAAGGTATCTTGATGCAGCTGGGTTCTTTGCTGTTAGCAGATTGGGAAGCTCCCAGAGGTAGCTGATACCGTGTGCTTCTCAATGCTGGAGAAAAGGGTGGTTTCCTGAAGAGCTTTATCCCCATGTCCAAGAAACTCAGAGCTTCCTGTAGGAGCTGTGGGGTCTGTGCAGAGTTTTCCAGCAGGGGAGAGCCCAAGCCTCAGCCTTGATCTGCTTGGGCTGCTTTTGAGTAACATTAAAGTGAGCGGAGATGAGACTTAAACCTTCCTTGACTTTCTAAGGACTCGCTGCCATCGCCTCCATCACGCAGCCACAATTAACCTTGCTGGAGTGTCTATATTTGAAGCAGCTTTAAACTGGAGCCTGAACTTCCAGACATTTATGCATATGGTCTTCGCTATTGTCTGTATGAACCTTTGGGTGTTTTTATTTTTATTTTTGTTTTTATTTTTGCACTAAAAGAACACCCCCACATACACTTTGGCAAATCTGCGCTTTGCAGCCTGGCTTCATTGAGGTCAGTATAAGTAGCAGACGTCAGGATGGTCAGAATGGGCCCTGGGCTCTCCGAGGGCATTTTGCTGGCTTTTCTTAGCTCCTGACTAAAGAGCAAAGCATTGGATGCTGACATCTTGGAACATCGGGATGCCCCAGGCAGAGACCTACACATGGCATCCCCATAAACCACAAGTTTTGCAATCTTGTGGTTTGGGATCCTCCCCAGTTTTGGCTGTGTTTTGATTGAAGCACAGAGCCGGACGCCTGGCACCCCAGCGCCGGAGCGGCGCGATGAACCCTCAGTGCAGCGTTACTCATCCACGAACGCGCCGGGGCTCCTCGGACCCGGCTCGTTGTTTTTACTGCTGCAACAAGCCGAGTTGGGCAGCTCTTCCCCTTTCCAACCCCAGAGAGCTTGCGTGGGGAGGGACAAGGGCCATCGTCGCTGATGGTCCCCCTAGCAGGCTGTAATCCCGAGCCCTGGCAAGCGATGCTCGCCCACGCTCCGCTCCGACACCGGCGCTCACACAAGGAGGATTAGGGACATCATATGACTAATGCTGCAGTGACGATATATGCTTAATTGGTGGAGGGTTGCACTTTCTGTCTTTTTTTAAACCTGGGTCGTAGCCTCAAAGGTCTGTCTAATACCTGAGCTTCCTTGTAGGTATTTGCTCCACTGAGATGTGCAGGTTGCTGCGGCTGCTGACTTTGCCTTATACTCTTGAGCTACGATAGTCTTTTTAGTAATAAGAAACCATCAAACTGCCCCAAAAATGCCAGGCTGAACCATGCTTGTGGCTCGCAGAAGGACTTCCCATATCTAACGTGTAAAAGCCCTGGTTGGGGAAGGGCTGTTGCACAGAGAAACCAGAGCAGTTATATAAGGGGGCGACAGGACCTAGCTTTAGGCACTTCTTTTAACATCTTATTTGCCACTTGGTGCCTCAGTTTCCCTTTAAAATACAAATGTGGCTCTTTCATTATTACTTAGCTCCTAAAAATATATATATATCTTATTTCCAAAGTAGGATGCTGCAGAGAGTTGTTATCAGTGCGTCTTAAGCATTTTTAACAGCTGATGGTAGTTAACTGGTCAAAAAGCTCACCTGGAGCTGCAGCCATAAAGCCACATTTCCCCCTGAAATGCTTCAGTCCTCCCAGCTGCCTGTCTGCAAAAACACTTCCAAACTGGTGATTGCAGGGCAAGAATCACATCCTGGTGACAGTTGCGGTGGCTGTGGCGGCCCCCAGTGATGGGAATTATTAATCTCATGCTCTCTGTCTATAAAGCACCCCACACTTCCTCCATAA